TCTCTTCAATATTCTTACCTATGGTTGATGTATTTTGTAGGATAATTTAATTATTACAATTTTGATAAATTTTGTTATGATAATTGTTTTTTAATATTTTACAGAAATATAAATATACAGTCAGTCACCTGTGTTTTATTAGTATTAATAATAATAATAATAATAATCTATATTATTATAATAATATACAATAAGATGTCTTTATTTATTATAAAAAATTATTTTTTCTTTTACCCTTAAAACATATTTTTATTTTTATAATTTATCCTTTAACAAAAACACGTTACCACTTTATAAAAATGACAACCAATTTATATTAAAATATTATTTAAAATTGATATATATATCTATATATATATATATATATATATATATATATATATATATTAAAAGTTTTTTATTGATGATGTTCATTAACCATTTTGTATATGTGTCATTAGTTTATTTTTGTTTAGATGAGAGTGATAAAATATTTTAAAATCTAATTGTTTTTACGAGGTGGAACATGAATTGATCCATCACTTTCACCAATAACTTTATTTTTCGAAAGTAGTTTCTCGATATTTTATTTTTTGTTAAAATGTAATTCAATTTATAATTAAGTTTGACTTACGGTTTGAATAACAATGTATAAATAACACACGCATATATCATAAATAACAGACATATTATTTAGTTACGTAATCTTTCTCTTTTGTTCTCTCTCGCCTCAACAATTGGTATCAATAACATAGATTTGAGGGGTCGAGCTACACAAGAACGATATGATAATGTTATTTGCTTCCACTCTTACCAATCTTCCAATTCTCACAATGAAAAATTATGACAACTGGAAAATACAGATACGAGTGGTTATGAGGTATTAAGAAGTATGGAATCTTGTTGAAGAAAGTTGCAAATTGATTGGTGAAGGTGGAACGGAAGCTCACAAAGTTGTAGATATCGAGATCGAAAAGAAAGATTGCAAGGCCCTGTATATCTTGCATCAAAGTGTTGATGCATCAAATTTAGAAAAGATCTTGAAGGCTGAGACATCTAAGGAGGCTTGGGATATTCTTGAATTGGTCCATGGTGGTGCAACAAAGACCAAGAAGGTGAGGCTTCAAACGCTGCAATGTCAATACGAACTTCTATCAATGGAAAGCAACGAGCAGGTGGTTGATTACATCACTCGTGTTCAAACGATGTTGAACACTATGAAGGGTCTTGGAGAGAAGATGTCTGAGTTGCAGGTGATTAAGAAGGTGTTACGTATGTTACCAGGGAATCTTGAAAATTTGAGTCTTGATGAACTTCAAGGTTCCTTGGAGTTACATGAATTAAGGCTAATTGAAAGGGGAGAAGAGCAAAAGAATGAGCAAGCTCTTCAAGCTCAGACAAACACAAACGCAACGTTTAAGAAGAAGTCCAAGAATAAAGGAAAATGGAGGCAAGAAGTGAACAAAGAGGACGCAAAAGAGACTCAAGACAACAAGCACACAGTAGCGTCTTAGAAAGGGAAAAGAAGTAATTTTGACAACAAAAAGATGAAATGTTACAACTGTAATAAGATGGGACACATTGCCAAGTATTGCAAGCAATATAATCCAAGAAGAGATGAAGCCCGATTGGCTCAAGGAGAGGACGATGACCCAGAACAAGTTTTGTTAATGGCAATTACTGTCCAAACAAAAGGAATCGAAGATAATTGTTGGTATCTTGACACTGGATGCTCAACACACATGACAAGAAGGAAGGATTGGTTCACAAGTCTTAACGAATCAATTAAAAGCAAGGTCAAGTTCGCAAACCCTTGTGTACTAACAGTTGAAGAGATTGGAAATATTACAGTGAAGAAGAAGAATGGAGGTCAAGCTCTCATCACCGATGTCTTGTTCGTTCCTGGAATGAAGAGCAATCTATTAAGCCTAGGCCAACTATTGGAGAAAGGATACTCCTCTAGACTTGAAAATAAAATGCTCAGTGTGTACGATAAACACAATCATTTTATAATGAAGTCACCTCTTACAAAGAGTCGAATCTTCAAGGTAGAAATTGATATAGTAGATCAAGAATGCTTTGCGGTTACAGTAAAGAAGGAGGAATGTCTTTGGCATTACTGTTTTGGACACCTCAATTTCAGAGATTTGCAAAACCTGAAATCCAAAGACATGGTGCGTGGCTTATCTTATATATCTCCACCCAACGAAGTGTGTAGTGATTGCATGAAATCCAAGTAGGCTAGGAACTCTTTCCAACAACATATTTCATCAAAAACTAAAGAAAAATTACAAGTCATCTATTCAGATGTCTGCGGGCCTATTCAAACTGAATCCCTTAGTGGTAATAGATACTTCGTCTCCTTCATTGATGACATTTCCAGAAAGTTATGGGTATGTTTGATTAAAAGAAAGAATGAAGTATTAGAAATATTTCAAAAATTCAAACCTATGGTGGAACGATGTAGTGGCCAATCGATCAAAGTATTGAGGACAGACGGTGGAGGTGAGTATACGTCCAAGGAGTTTGAAAGGTTTTGTGAAAAGGAAGGTATTGAGCATGAAGCCACCCCTCCATACACACCACAACACAATGGAATCATAGAAAGAAGGAATCAAACCATCATGAATATGGTACGTAGCATGCTAAAGACGAAACAACTACCGAAGTATCTATGGGGTGAGGTCGTTTCTACCGCTGCTTACATCTTAAAAAGATGCCTAACGAAGAGGTTGGAGGGAACTACTCCATAAGGGGTTTGGTCCAACACTAAACCAGACATGAGCCACCTAAGAGTGTTCGGATCAATCTGCTATAAGCATGTACCTGAACAGTTGAGAAGAAAGCTAGACGACAAAGGAGAGAAGATGATTCTGTTAGGATATCATCGAACAGGTGGATATAAACTGTTCAATCCCATCACCAAGCAAATTGTGACAAGTAGGGAGGTGATATTTGATGAGTCGAAGGGATGGAACTTGGAGTTGAACGCGGATGAACGATACAGTCAGGTTATAATTGATTCAGGTGAGGATGAAACTAACGAAGATCCCAACGAAGAATCAGGAGGAGCGTCTTCGTTCAATGTTCTAAGAAGATCTCAAAGAGATACTAGGATTCCATCTAGGTTTAAAGGTTTCAAGATAATATTTGATGCTGATGTGAATGAAGATGGAGACATAGTCCATTTTGCTCTGTTCTCTGAAACTGAACCAGTTACTTATGAAGAAGCTATTTCAAATAGCAAATGGATTGATGCGATGAAGGATGAACTTCGATCCATTGAGAAAAACTAAGTGTGGGAACTAGTGTCTCTACCTCAGGACAAGATACCCATCAGTTTAAGGTGGGTTTTCAAAACCAAAACTGATCTCACAGGGAAGATAGTGAAGCACAAAGCGAGATTAGTTGTATGCGGCTTTCTTCAGAAACCTGACATCGACTACAAGGAAGTATTTGCTCCAATGGCCAGGATTGAAACGATACGACCAGTGATCGCAATCGGCAATTCTAAAGGATGGATCATGTGTCAGTTGGACGTAAAATTCGCATTCTTGAATGGACCTCTAGAAGAAGAAGTTTATGTATCACAGCCTCCTGGGTTCAAACTTGAAGGACAGGAAGCTAAGGTGTACAAACTAAAGAGAGCCCTCTACGGACTCAAACAAGCGGCGAGAGCATGGAATCGAAGGATTGAGACTTACATGTTACAGCTCGGATTCATCAGATGCACTTGTGAATTTGGAGTATATGTTCGCCAAAATCAATACGTGGTCATCGTGTGTCTGTACGCTGATGATCTTCTAATTACAGGCAACCATGTCGAAGACGTTGAAACATTCAAGAGGAAATTGATGCATGAATTTGAAATGACGGACCTAGGAGAATTATCATACTTTCTAGGATTTTAATTCACAAAGGTAAGAAAAGGATTGATGATGCACCAAAGGCGATATGCGATGGAGGTGTTGAAGATATTCAACATGTTGAACTGTAATCCAACAGCTACTGTTAGACAAATGGCATCTAGAGGGGGTGAATAGATGCACAAAATAAAATAGATGTCAAATTAAAAATTTATTTGTGAGTCAATAATTTGTTAAAGCGGAAGCAATAATATAATCAGGAAAAGAGAAAGAGATAAGGGAAAGAGAAGAGCACACAGAGATTTATACTCGTTCGGGTATAGTCAACCCTACATCTAGTTCTCAGTCAACTCTTAACACAAGAGTGACTCCCCATTCACTATCTTTCAAATTCAGTTTATAAATTACAATCAATTCAGCAGAATAACCAATAAAAAGTAAACTAATTAAGAAAACAATCACTTCTTTAGAAACTCACTAAGGATGAACACCTCCCTAGAATCCCACTAGAGATGAACACCTCCTCTAAACAAATCAAATGATGAAAAACACCTCCTTAGAATCTCACTAAGGATGAACCCCTCCCTAGAATCACACTAGAGATGAAAACCTCCTTTGAACAAATCAAAGGATGAAAACATCTCCTTAGAATCTCACTAAGGATGAACACCTCCCTAGAATCACACTAGGAATGAAAAGCACCTCCTTTTCCACCAATGCAAAAAGGATGAAGGTAATAAAAATAAGAACAGACACACCTGGGTAATGGAGACAACAAATTGTAGAAGCTTGTAGAATGCCAATTTCCAAGAACAAGTGTGATTAATAATGAAAGCATAGAAGGCAGTAGAGAAGAGGGTTTTCTCAAAAGGTGTAAAATATCTATGTTACCTTTCACAGAATTCTTTTTTCAAAACTGATTGAATGTAAATTGTATTTTCGAATTTTGTAGTCCTTCTCCAATTAGCATCTCACCTGATCGTCTGCTGAGTGAATAGCAGCAAGCAAGTGCTAGTTCAAGTCAGTAATCATTTGATGCGCGGGATTTGTACTGTGACGAGTAAGAAAATAAGGTTGAAGTACTACGGAGATCAGAGCTTTAGTTTAAGTGATTCAAATCAGTGAACTGTACTCGTCCAAGCCAGCGGGTAAGGTTCACCAGACGGGGCAGGTGAACGACCAAGGAAAGTAGAGGATTCGGATAGGTGAATCAAGGCGTTTGTGTGAAAACTCTAGCTGTATCAAATAGAGATGGGGAAGGAAGGAAAGCGACTCTTTTTCACCAGGAACATAAACAACATTCGGAAGACTTGAACAATAGGTTTCGACAACTGTCTTGATGAAGATTGACGACAAGGGACCTAGCTAGGCTCCTTGTCTTTACCCAAGAGATATCCCTGCCCTTTCGATCTTACTTATTGACTTATTCTCTAAACCACCTCTGGGCATATTCCTTCCACTAGGGGCATTTGCTTCATTCTGACCTATCTCAACAAGCCCATCTAAGAGCTGATCAATCAATGGCACAGCGCTCGATTCGATCACTCTATCGAGTAAAAGTACAGGGATGATTCAATCGATTCCTAAGACCTTGAAGGGCGAAAGCCCAATCGAACATCAATCACTTCACGAACGCTATTGATTGAGTAGCCAACCAACCCCAAAACGCAAGAATCAAGGGGAGCAGAAAGAAGCTTCATTGATTCCGACTCTAATCTCAGGCATATTGTGTGTTTTTTTATTTTTCATCAAAACTTAATTAAATAGAAAAATAGCATCAGAAAATGGTCATTGGACATTAATAATATCATAGAGAAAATCAGGATGTATTAAAAAATATTTATTCTTTAAAACGGATATATTTTTCAAATTTGAATTGCCATAATTGATTATATTACCAGTATAATTAATTATGATAGAGAAAATCATTTTTCTATTTTTGGTGCATCATAATTAATCATGACAGTGAAAAATGTCATGTTATAAATTTTATCACACTTGTGCTTTGGAGGCTTAACATAATATTACTTCATCAACTTGTACCTCCATATTCAGTATTCTAAGACTCTATCTAGTCTTCAGGAATCATCTTGGGTTTGCTTGAATCATTATCTTTATCAAAAACATATATTGGGCATGTAGGGAAATGTTTCACATTGTCACCTACGTCATAAATTCAGCTTGTCCTTAAATTCATCTTGAATGGTCTTGACTTGAATGTAGTTGACTTGAATAATCATCTCTTGGGAATGCAGGAACATTTCCATCAATCTCCCCCTCATTGTTTTCAATCTCTCCCTTTTTGATGATGATCAAGGAAACACCTGAAATGAATTAAAATGCTTGACTTTATATAGCCAGCTCAAGATTAGCACAGATTTGTATCAAGTGTCAGAGTCTCTTAATCTCCGCCTGGATATATTAATATAACAAGACTCCCCCTAACTCATATGAGCAAATACTTCTCTTAACTCCCCTTGTTTAATTTAGATAGGAAAGAATTTCACACAGATTTTAATTCATCAAAAATCTCCCCCTGTTTCATTGATAATTATAAAAAATATTATAAGAAAAAATCTTCCCCTGTTTCACACAGATTAATATCATCAAAACATCTCCCTGTTTCATTGATAATTAAAAAAAAAATATTATAAGAAAAAAAATCTCCCTTATTTCAAACAAATTAATATTATCAAAATATTTACATGTTTCATTGATAATTATGAAAAGTATTATAAAAGAAAAAAATCTCCCCCTTTTTCACACATATTAATATCATCAAAATATCTTCCTGTTTCATTGATAATTATGAAAAATATTGCAATAGAAGCTGAGAACAAATTTGTACCTATTAGTATATAAATCAAGGTAGAGAAGATAATGCATTAAAAAGTGTCATAAAGAAGAATATCATATTAAGGAAACAATATCTAGGATACCCAAGACAAATGAAGAGAGAAAGATAAGGGAATAAAATGATTATAGAGATAATGGAATTAAATGCAGTAGTTTCCCTCCATTGCAGTCTTCTTATTTAGGCAGCTTTTAAATTCAAATACACTCATATTCTAGATTTCAAATTTCAAATTCAAATTACAACAAATTTCAAATTCAAATTCCAAGTAATTCCAAATTTCAAATTCAAATTTCTAATCCCAAATTTCAAATTCCAATTCAAATTCAATTTCAAAAATTTCAAACTGCAAAAATTTCAAATTTCAAAATCTCAAACTACAAAATTTCAAATTTCAAAAATCTTAAATTGCAAAATTTCAAATTTCAAAAATCTCATATTGCAAATTTTTTAAAAAATATCAAACTGCAAAATTTCAAGATTTCAAACTTTATAATTTCAAATTTTCAAAAATTCAAATTTTCAAAATTCAAACTTTCAAATTTCAAAGTTGGTCAACATAATTGATTATGACAACAAGAAAAAAATTATGATTCTGATAATCAATTAGATACTCAAATTATCATCTAGACATGTATAAATGTTTTGTTCCTTTAGGCACTCATTCATATTTGTCATTAGATATGCCAAAATGTTTTATGTAACATCTATTTGATGTATGACCTAATTTCATGCAATAAAAACATGTTCGTTTTCTTTGAAAAGGTCTAAATGCGTTTCTTAAAGTTTTTGAAATTGGTTTCACATCTGTTTTCCTTGAATCTTTCACAAAAATAGTTTTATGAGGTTCTATACTTTCTTTGGGTTTGTAACTGTGACATATGCTTTTTACTGTGCAGGAAAACTTCATCATGCACAGTAAAATTTTTTCTTTTATATGTTCGAAGGGGGATGAATGGTTTCTGCGGAAAATTCTTCCTCCCATATCATATGTTCCCCATTCTTCTTCTTCTATTGTCTAAATTTCAAACAACGAGATTCTACTCGTGCAGGATCTGGTGAAACGGGAGAGAGCTTGAATTAAGTAGGAAAGCTTCGATAGAAATATCATACCAGGTAAGGAGAAGTTTAATTCATTCAATATATGAAATTAAATTGTTGGGTACTCTGTGAATAAGGAATAGGAGTAGAGATATGAATTATTTGAATGTCTAATTTTGAAGAATTTCGATTCTCATGAACTGTTCACTCGTTTGAAAGTTTTTGAAATTCTTGAAATTAAGGATGAATTATATAATAAAATTGTTGTTTTTAACTTAAATTAAACATGTTTATGGTTTAATTTTGATTTGGAACTAATTTGGGTGATTGAAACTGAGAAATTTGAAACCTGGATTTTGAAAATAGCGTACTGGAGATGATTACTATTCATATTTCACAAAGTTTTTAATATTGATTAAATTCTTGAAATTAAGGATGAATTACATGGTAAAATTGATGTTTTCAACTTAAATTAGATACAATTCATGTTTAATTTCGATTTGGGACTAGTTTGGTTGTCTAAAACTGAGTAATTTGAAATCAGCCAAAAAATCTGCAAAATTCGACACTGTTATTGGGCGAAGGAAGAAAAAAGGGATATGGTGGGGATTTTTTAAAAAGATCAAGGGTAAAATAATCATTTTTCATCCTTGGGACATAAATGTAATTTTCAAAAATGTTCAAGGGCAACGTCATTTTACATCCTAGGGACATAAATGAAATTTTCGAAATTATTCAAGGGTAAAATAGTCATTTTCGGGACATGGAAGGAATTTTTGAAAATGTCCAAGGGCAAAATAGTCATTTTTGGGACATGGAAGAGATTTTCAAAAATGTTCAAGGGTAAAATAGTCATTTAGGGACATACATGGAATTTTAAGAAAAGATTAAGGGCAAAATAGTAATTTAATGATTTCGGAAATGATTTTGAAAATAGTTTCAGAAATGATTTCGGAAATGATTTTAGAAAAATATATATATAAAGAGAGAGAGAGAGAGAGAATGAAAGTAGTGTGTTGTGACGTGTGTGGGTCAGACTGAGCCTGAGGGCTGATGCCCAGAATCAGTCATGAGACATTATATATTGGCTAGACTGAGCCAGAGGGTTAGTGCCAGAATCAGTCAAATACTATTTTTATTGACCCGAATGAGCCGTGAGGACAGGTGGTCCAGAATCCGACAAATGTGAATGATTTTTGTTATGTTTGAATGGTACCCAGGGTGGTACAGAGTAATTTAGTGTAATAACTATGTCAGAGGATTCTGAATGAGGTCCCAGACTTCACTGATTGGTCGGGTCAGGTAGACTACGAGATCAGGTGGTGAGAAATCGATGGGGAGATGACTGGTGGCGCGCTCGGATGGGTACTCCAGTATGAGTGATGAAGGGCGCCAGTAATCCTACTCTGTGTGGAGGGTGGTCAGAATGGTACTGCGGGTACCGATCATAATGTGCCCACAGATGATAGTCTCTGAGTTCGGGCATAGTTAGGGTATACATCCGGAAGGTGTCTTAGTGTGTTGATAATTTTGTAATTGATCATAATATATAATTATTACTTCTATATTTGTTTTATTACATCGAATGATTTAATACTTACCCCTATTTTTCCATGTGAATGGGACTGCGATGATCACTTTTTTGTGGGAGCACATCAGGAGTTGAGAGATGGAGATGTGACTACTGGACAGCAGGGATAGTTCAGTGGGATAATTTTGAGGGAGCTACTTTTACATGTATAATATATAAATAAATTATGTTACTATATTTTGAGGTTCCGTTAGTGAACCGAAATTTCAATCTATGTTACAATTACAGTAATATAATGTAAGATAAATGTCGTTATTTACTATTTTGTGAAGGCATCATTATAGTAGCAATTTCTAGGGTCGTTACAGTAACCAAGTCCAGCTTTGCTAGAATTTCCTCTTTGATAACCTAATATCGAATCAAGATTTTCAGAAGATTTTGAAAAATTGCTTATTATTTTCTCTAACTTGAAAATCTCATTTTCCAAAAGATCACAATTTTCACAAGGTTTAACAACTTCTTTATTTTTAGACAAAGTTTTAGATTTCTCAACATCTTTCTTTAACCACTCATTTTCTTTTTCAAGAATACCAACAATATTTTCTAATGCATTAAACTTTTGCCTAAGTGCATTGTATTTCTTAGATAATTTGGTAAAACCTTCATACATATCTTGATATTCTTTAAATAACTCATCGTATTCATTTAAGGAATTTGTATTACTTACCTGTGATGAGACTTCATCATCACTTTTTGTCATCAAGCAAAGATTTGCTTCTTCTTCTCCATCACTACTTTCGGAAGAACTCTCTTGTGTTGTGGAAGAATCATTATCCTCCCAAGCAATATAAGTTTTGCGTTTGCTCTTATAGGTATCATTCTTCTCCCAAGCAATATAAGTTTTGTGTTTGCTCTTATAGGTATCATTCTTCTTTTTCTTCTTCTCTTTTACATCTTTCTTCTTTTTCTTAAGTTTCAGACAGTCTGGTTTGATATGACCAGGTTTTCCACATTCATAGCAATGAAATTTATTTATTTTCTCATTTCTTTGCTGTCTCTTTTTCCTGTTCTTTATAAAGCGAGAAAATTGTTTAATAAAAAGAGACATATCAGAGTCCGAAAACTTACCTTCATTTTCACTTTCGTCTTGTGAAGATTTTTCTGCTTTTAGAGCTATCGTCTTGGTTTGATTCTGTTCACCATTTTTTAACCTTTGTAGTTTCATCTCATTGCAGCTTTCCAAATAGAGTAGCAATATTCATTTTTGTGAGATC